GTGCGTTCAAGCCAATGATATAAATCCTTAAATGGCTGGATTGTCCCCTCACCGCCTTACCGCAACCCACTGGGTCAACGCGCCTATGGGATCACACCAGGATCCTTCACGGTCAGTATCTCCTCAGTGGATGGTATCCATAGAAAATCCCCATCAATGGTAGCACTTACCCCTCCACTCTCGCCTCACTGGCTGTGATTGACAACAGGTGGAGCCAATGGCTCCTGCTGTTGCCTCTCAGCCAATTAGGAGGCAGAGACCTTGGAGAGCAGACTCTCTCGTGTACAGAGACACAGGTGCAGACAGGAGGAGCTGCATACTGAAGGTTTTTTACTTTCATGCATAGAACGCATGAAAGTAAAAAACCTTCAACCTTTACAACCACTTTAAATACCAAACTAATTTAGCACCAATTAGGGTAATAGCTTACCTCTCATACATATGCTAATTGACAACACCCAGTACTCAACACTTCAACACTCCAATAGCTACTAAACAATCACCAATAGCAACACAGCCAAAATACAAAAGTTATAAAAAGTAAATTAGCAATTAGAAATAATTTAAATTTACTGTATACAGCTACTGCTGTTCAAACTATGCACTTTTGTTCTGCTGCACTTCTGTCCTGATGCACTCCAAAAAGAGCAAATTTCACACATAAATGCTAATCTGCATGGAGGCCCATCCTCTATCAGCTAACTGCTGCAATTACAGAGAATTTGGTAGCACAGCCACAAAATGCAATCCCACACAAATTAACAACGGATTTACAACTAAGTGTACCTCCTACCCAGGAGGTAGGAGACTGCTTTCTCCCCTTCTGTATGCTCTAGCTTAGTCATATATGACCTCAGTTTGTTTGGTATGATATTCCCCATCCAAATATATACTTAAAGTGATACTAAACCCAGCAACCTGAATTTACCATATCTGGTCTCCCTAGTATAATGAATATGGCAAGGCTAGTACATAATCAAATAAACACAGCTACATACCTTTTTTCAGCAGAGAGGAGAAGAGAGAGAGAGCGGGAGAGGAGGGGAAAAGGAGAGAGGGGAGATGAGAGAGAGCAGTGGAGCAACAGCACTAAGCATGAGCACCTGAAATGTCATCACTTATACCTTGTAATGAGCAAAATTGAAAGACAAGCCACGCAAGACAGAAATGAACAAGAAGAAATCCACGAAAAACAGGAGAATAAGGACAAAAAGTGCAACAAACACCATGACCATCTAGCAAACAAGTACAGTCAGGTCCATAAATATTGGGACATCGACACAATTATAAAATGTTTGGATCTATACACCACCACAATGGATTTGAAATGAAACAAACAAAATGTGCTTTAACTGCAGACTGTCAGCTTTAATTTGAGGGTATTTACATCCAAATCAGGTGAACGGTGTAGGAATTACAACAGTTTGCATATGTGCCTCCCACTTGTTAAGGGACCAAAAGTAATGGGACAGAATAATAATCATAAATCAAACTTTCACTTTTTAAGACTTGGTTGCAAATCCTTTGCAGTCAATTACAGCCTGAAGTCTGGAACGCATAGACATCACCAGACGCTGGGTTTCATCACTGGTGATGCTCTGCCAGGCCTCTACTGCAACTGTCTTCAGTTCCTGCTTGTTCTTAGGGCATTTTCCCTTCAATTTTGTCTTCAGCAAGTGAAATGCATGCTCAATCGGATTCAGGTCAGGTGATTGACTTGGCCATTGCATAACATTCCACTTCTTTCCCTTAAAAAAACTCTTTGGTTGCTTTTGCAGTATGCTTTGGGTCATTGTCCATCTGCACTGTGAAGCGGCGTCCAATGAGTTCTGAAGCATTTGGCTGAATATGAGCAGATAATATTGCCCGAAACACTTCAGAATTCATCCTGCTGCTTTTGTCAGCAGTCGCATCATCAATAAATACAAGAAGAACCAGTTCCATTGGCAGCCATACATGCCCACGCCATGACACTACCACCACCATGCTTCACTGATGAGGTGGTATTCTTAGGATCATAAGCAGTTCCTTTCCTTCTCCATACTCTTCTCTTCCCATCACTCTGGTACAAGTTGATCTTGGTCTCATCTGTCCATAGGATGTTGTTCCAGAACTGTGAAGGCTTTTTTAGATGTCGTTTGGCAAACTCTAATCTGGTCTTCCTGTTTTTGAGGCTCACCAATGGTTTACATCTTGTGGTGAACCCTCTGTATTCACTCTGGTGAAGTCTTCCCTTGGTTGTTGACTTTGACACACATACACCTACCTCCTGGAGAGTGTTCTTGATCTGGCCAACTGTTGTGAAGGGTGTTTTCTTCACCAGGGAAAGAATTCTTTGGTCATCCACCACAGTTGTTTTTCCGTGGTTCTTCCGGGTCTTTTGGTGTTGCTGAGCTCTCCGGTGCGTTCCTTCTTTTTATGAAGAATGTTGCAAACAGTTGATTTGGCCACGCCTAATGTTTTTGCTATCTTTCTGATGGGGTTGTTTTGTTTTTTCAGCCTAATGATGGCTTGCTTCACTGATAGGGACAGCTCTTTGGATCTCATCTTGAGAGTTGACAGCAACAGATTCCAAATGCAAATAGCACACTTGAAATGAACTCTGGACCTTTTATCTGCTCATTGTAATTGGGATAATGAGGGAATAACACACACCTGGCCATGGAACAGCTGAGAAGCCAATTGTGATTTTGGATGTAAAAGTGGGAGGCACATACCCTCAAATTAAAGCTGACAGTCTGCAGTTAAAGCACATTTTGTTTGTTTCATTTCAAATCCATTGTGGTGGTGTATAGAGCCAAACATTTTATAATTGTGTCGATGTCCCAATATTTATGGACCTGACTGTATCCTTCAGTGTTTTCAGTATGGAATAGCAAATCAGCAGAGTCTCTGGATTTTGCTTAAGGATTTCTTTTTTCATGGTTTTCATTGTTTGTTTGCTCTTTTCTCCCTCTGAGCAAACAATTGCCAAGACATCAGACCCCCTGCTGGCTTTGGTTTATATGGAGTCTGTGTTTGGGGTATTTGCAGGGGGGAAAATGTCAGTGCGTCTTATGGAGCGAATATAAAGCGGCCGGTCCGGTATTTCTGCCGCCACCATGTCAGAATACTGGGCCGGCCGCTCAGCTGTTCTCTCCTGCAGGGCCTTACCTGTTCCTCGCTCCAGCGCTGCACAGTCGTCTCAGCTGTTCCATGGCCAGGTGTGTGTTATTCCCTCATTATCCCAATTACAATGAGCAGATAAAAGGTCCAGAGTTCATTTCAAGTGTGCTATTTGCAAATCTGTTGTGTCAACTCTCAAGATGAGATTCAAAGAGCTGTCCCTATCAGTGAAGCAAGCCATCATTAGGCTGAAAAAACAAAACAACCCCATCAGAAAGATAGCAAAAACATTAGGCGTGGCCAAATCAACTGTTTGCAACATTCTTAAAAAGAAGGAACGCACCGGAGAGCTCAGCAACACCAAAAGACCCGGAAGACCACGGAAAACAACTGTGGTGGATGACCAAAGAATTCTTTCCCTGGTGAAGAAAACACCCTTCACAACAGTTGGCCAGATCAAGAACACTCTCCAGGAGGTAGGTGTATGTGTGTCAAAGTCAACAACCAAGGGAAGACTTCACCAGAGTGAATACAGAGGGTTCACCTCAAGATGTAAACCATTGGTGAGCCTCAAAAACAGGAAGACCAGATTAGAGTTTGCCAAACGACATCTAAAAAAAGCCTTCACAGTTCTGGAACAACATCCTATGGACAGATGAGGCCAAGATCAACTTGTACCAGAGTGATGGGAAGAGAAGAGTATGGAGAAGGAAAGGAACTGCTTATGATCCTAAGCATACCACCTCATCAGTGAAGCATGGTGGTGGTAGTGTCATGGCGTGGGCATGTATGGCTGCCAATGGAACTGGTTCTCTTGTATTTATTGATGATGTGACTGCTGACAAAAGCAGCAGGATGAATTCTGAAGTGTTTCGGGCAATATTATCTGCTCATATTCAGCCAAATGCTTCAGAACTCATTGGACGCCGCTTCACAGTGCAGATGGACAATGACCCAAAGCATACTGCAAAAGCAACCAAAGAGTTTTTTTTAAGGGAAAGAAGTGGAATGTTATGCAATGGCCAAGTCAATCACCTGACCTGAATCCGATTGAGCATGCATTTCACTTGCTGAAGACAAAACTGAAGGGAAAATGCCCCAAGAACAAGCAGAAACTGAAGACAGTTGCAGTAGAGGCCTGGCAGAGCATCACCAGGGGTGAAACCCAGCGTCTGGTGATGTCTATGCGTTCCAGACTTCAGGCTGTAATTGACTGCAAAGGATTTGCAACCAAGTATTAAAAAGTGAAAGTTTGATTTATGATTATTATTCTGTCCCATTACTTTTGGTCCCTTAACAAGTGGGAGGCACATATGCAAACTGTTGTAATTCCTACACCGTTCACCTGATTTGGATGTAAATACCCTCAAATTAAAGCTGACAGTCTGCAGTTAAAGCACATTTTGTTTGTTTCATTTCAAATTCATTGTGGTGGTGTATAGAGCCAAACATTTTATAATTGTGTCGATGTCCCAATATTTATGGACCTGACTGTAAGTTCTGATGGCAACACGTACATACTGGGCCCTGCAAGTTACTGTCACGAGTTGATACCGTATTTTCCAGCGTATAAGGCGACTTTTTTTTACTTAAAAACATACCCCAACAATTGGGGGTCATCTTATACGCCGGATATAGAACCGCTGGATGTGCGGTAATACTGTACGGTAGCTTCAGCTACATACAGTGTACCGCGCTGAGCCAATCACGGCGAGCGATGTATTCTATGAATGAATACAGAGCCTGCTCGGATTGGCTGAAGTTGTGACATCATCAGCCCGCCTCTCTGACGCAGCCAATCTGAGCAGGCTCTGTATTCATTAATAAAATACATCACTTGCCGTTATTGGCTCATATGACGTCTTCCCATTCTCTGCGCATGCGCGGCGATGCGCTGTGTCCCTCGGACACAGTGGATCATCGATCACGGAAAGAGCCGAAGATATCAGCTCGGTCATGTGATCAGCTGTGTCCAATCACAGCTGATCACATGTAAACAGGGAAATGCCGGCATTTCTCTCCTCTCGAGCTGTCACGCTGACAGAGGAGAGGAGAGCCAGTAATCGGCTTTCTGTGGAGGGGACATGTACACTGATCATCAGGGCACTGATGATCAGTGTGCCCTGATGATCAGTGTAGCCCCAGCAGTGCCAGCTGTCAGTGTCCATCAGTGCCAGCTGTCAGTGTCCATCAGTGCCAGCTGTCAGTGTCCATCAGTGCCACATATCAGTGCCTACCAGTGCACATCAATGCAACATATCAGTGCCCATCTGAGCTGACTTTCAGTGCCACCTATCAATGCCAATCAGTGCCGCCAATCAGTGAACACCTTAGTGCCAGTCAGTGCCGCCTATCAGTGCCATGTATCAGTGCTGCCTTTCAGTGCCCATCAGTGATGCCTGTCAATGCCCATCAGTGCCACCTATCAGTGCTGCCAATCAGTGCCAGTCAGTGCCGAATATCAGTGCGCATCAATGTCGCCTATCAGTGCACATCAGTGCTGCCTATCAGTGCCACATATGAGTGCCATGTATCAGTGCTGCCTTTCAGTGCCCATCAGTGCCACCTACCAGTGCCTCCTCATCAGTGCCCATCAGTGCCACCTATTTCATATGGGTACAGTGTTGCATGACTGCGCAATTGTCAAAGTGTGACAGCCCTGAAAGCTAAAAAATTGGCCTGGGGGGGAAGTGGGTATAAGTGCCCTGTAGGCTAGGGGTTAAATGGTGTTGCCTCAGAAGGGGGGGGTAGTCTTATACGACGAGTATAGCCCAAAACCTATGTTTTAACTGGAAAATTAGGGGGTCGTCTTATACACCCAGTTGCCTTATATGCCAGAAAATACGGTACATACACAAAGAAACAGCTATGACAGTACAATAAACAAGAATGGAAGATAATTGCTGAATCTGTGTCACAGTCTGGAGCTCTACATCCTGAACGGCCACACCAAGGGAGACTCTCTGGGAACATGCTTCACAGTAGGTATGGTGTTCTTTGGATGCAACTCAGCAATCTCTCTCCTCCAAACACGACGAGTTGTGTTTCTACCAAACTGTTCTATTTTGGTTTCATCTGACCATATGACATCTCCCAATCCTCTTCTGGATCATCCAAATGCTCTCTAGCAAACTTCAGATGGGCCCGGACATGTACTGGCTTGAGCAGGGGAACACGTCTGGCACTGCAGGATCTGAGTCCCTGGCGGCGTAGTGTGTTACTGATGGTAGCCTTTGTTACATTGGTCCCAGCTCTCTGCAGGTCATTCACTAGGTCCCCCCGTGTGGTCCTGGGATCTTGTGATCATTTTGACCCCACGGGGTGAGATCTTGCGTGGAACCCCAGATCGAGGGAGATTATCAGTGGTCTTGTATGTCTTCCATTTTCTAATTATTGCACCCACAGTTGATTTGTTCACACCAAGCTGCTTGCCTATTGCAGATTCAGTCTTCCCAGCCTGGTGCAGGTCTACAATTTTGTTTCTGGTGTCCTTCAACAGCTCTTTGGTCTTCACCATAGTGGAGTTTGGAGTGTGACTGTTTGAACTTGTTATCAGTATAAAAGACACCTGTCCACAACTTCAAACAGGTGCCATTGATACAGGTAATGAGTGCAGGACAGAGGAGCCTCTTAAAGAAGAAGGTACAGGTCTGTGAGAGCCAGAAATCTTGCTTGTTTGTAGGTGACCAAATACTTATTTTCCACCATAATTTGCAAATAAATTCTTTCCAAATCAGCCAATGTGATTGTCTGGATTTTTTTTCTCATTTTGTCTCTCATAGTTGAGGTCTACCTATGATGCCAATTACAGGCCTCTCTCATCTTTTTAAGTGGGAGAACTTGTACAATTGGTGGCTGACTAAATACTTTTTTCCCCCACTGTATATCTTTATTAAATGCTGATACAAAATTATATGCGAAGGTATTAGTAACTAGGTTAAAAGAGCTGATGCGGAATGGATACACGTAGAACAAGTAGGATTCATTGCGGGTAGAGAAGTAAGGGATAACAGATTAAAATAATTGCTCCTCGGGGGGGGCGCTCGTGAGCAGCAGCCAGGATGGCTGCCTATTAATTTACTGTCTCGGCCACCGGACAAATCGGCCCGATTTCTGACCCTCAGGGGGGGGTCCCTCCGCTTCTTCCCTGTCCCCCTGTCCTTCTAGCACCCTGATGGGGAAAAAAACCCCGGCCCGCCCGCACCTCCAGCGTCCGACGGACCGTTCGGGAGGTTGCGGCCTACCCGCCGGAGATCGCGGGTGAAGCCGCGGCCTCGATTTTGGGCGGGCCGCCGGAGGCTTCCAGGACCCCGGCCGCGGATTTCGCCCGGGACAACAGCTGAAGCCCTGGCTGCAAGTTTGGGTCCCCTGCCATCACTACCTGCAGGTGAGATGGATCCTGGCAGTGGGGAGGACCTGGATCCCGAGCCATCCCGGCAGTCGCACATTCCATCCCTGCGGGATGCCGAGCTCCTGCGCCGCTTTAAAAGTATGTTGCAATCAGAATTGTCCTCCGCTACCTCCAAGCTGGCCGACCGTCTTTCGCGGGAAATTCGGGATTTGGGCAATCGGACGAATGATCTCGAAGATAAAATGGACGCTGCGGCCACGGTCATTGAAAATCACGAACAGGACCTGTGCGACCTTAAGAAGGAATTGGCGGACGCACTACTGCGGCTTGAGGATTTCGAAAAACCGTTCCCGCCGTGGCAATTTGCGGTTAAGGGGTATTCCGGAAACGGTCACTGATCTTACCTCCACTGCTACTGCTCTGTTTCAGGAGCTGACACCGCCTATTCCCATTGACCGGCTCGAATTTGACCGCATACATCGTTCTTTGGGCCCCAGACGACCAGATGGGCCCCCGAGGGACATTATCATCAAGTTTACTTATTACCGCACTAAGGAAACTATCCTCTTGGCGGCCAGAAATAACCCTGATCTTAGCTTCCAGGGGCACCGCTACCAGCTTTTCGCGGACCTCTCTCAGACCACTCTCCAGAAGCGACGCCAGTTGAAGCCCTTCACTTCGGGTCCTGGTGAAACACAGAATTTAAATATGCCTGGGGCTTTCCGTTCCGCCCTCACCTTCACCTACCAGGGCCGCAGTCATTCTGTGGCTACGCCGGAGGAGGCCCATTCTCTCTTGGAATCTTTACATCTTCTCTCGCCGGAAGCTGCTGATCGGAGCCCGGCTCATTCATCTGGATCCTCGGCAAGGCCGCCCGCTCTGGGCCGCATCTGGGAGCGGTCGTCCACCAGGAGGGGGGCTCTCCCTCAGACCCCTTCGCGATCAAGTCCTTCCTGTTCTTCTCCAGGCTGAAGATGCGCCTGGGAACTCCCACATATCGTCTCACCGAGGGACTACCCTGACGAGATCGTGAGTTTGGCCCTTAGGGCCTCCCGGTTTGTCGACATTCTAGGTTGAGACTGCTCTGGCTTGCCCTTTTGGGTTTCATCCCGGGTTGGGGGGGGGTCTCTTCCTGGACTTAGGAATCGGGACTTTTTGCTGCCGCAGCCTGTTTTGGGTCCATGTGATGGTGCTTGGGTCTACGTTTGTGGCATTGGGTGATGGTTCCCTTGGGCTCCGGGGTGGGAGGTTGACCCGGTGGGCCTGGTTGGGTGGAGGGGGGTTGGCCCCTGTGGTTCTCCGGGTTTCTATGGGGAGGTTGTCGCGGAGGTTCCTGCTCCTGGGACTTTTAGTTTATTAAGATTTACTATATTCTATTATGTACATTGCCTTTTTGCCCCTGAGGGCTTCTGTTTTGATGTTTCCATTTGCAGCCATGTGTCCGGTGGTTAGAGTTACCCCTAACTGTATCCTTCATGTGTAGGATGCATGTCACCATTGGTGTGACACGATTGCACTGTTGTGTATACTTTTTGTGTCTTTTTCCTTTTTTTTTTTTTCTTTGTTCTTCTCTTTTTTCTCTGTTTTTTTTGTTTTTGTTTTCTGCAGGGTTCCGGGACGCCATGGTCCGATCGCCATTGGGAGTGGAAATTGCTGGCTGCTTTGGGCTTTTTTCTGCTGAGCGTGTTGCGTTGATACCACCATGGCCTCACCCCTTTTGAAAATATATTCACATAATGTTCAAGGCTTCAATTCGCATACTCAGAAGCGGGCTAAAGTTTTTCATCATCTCAAGTCGCAACAAATTGATGTGGTATGTCTACAGGAGACCAGGTTTTCTCAGTCCTCTGCTCGGCGTTATCTTTCACCTCACTATCCCATCTTTTACACGGCCTCGGCTCCTGAGAAGCGTCGGGGTGTTTCTGATAGCTTTTAAACGCAAACTCCCCCTTTGTCTGTGCTCGGAATATAGGGGACCCCACGGGCAGGTATTTGCTTCTGCAAGGCACCCTCTGGGACCAGGAGGTTACCTTTGTCTCTTACTACGCTCCTAACCGTTTCCAGCATAAATTCTTTTCGCATCTTTGCACCATTATTTCTCGACACTCTTGTTATGGGGGATTCGAATGTTACCTTGGATTCCACACTGGATAGGCGCTACGCTCAAGGAGCGACCCCTCTCATGACTTGGTGCTGGAGGCACGTATGCGCTCTCTTTTGTGGGACAGCGGGGTTAAGCGGAACGTCTGGAGGGAACTTCATCCAATACCTGAACGCGGACTTTACGTTCTATTCTAACCCTCATGGACAGTTTTTGTAGAATTGATCATATATTCATGCAGGTCCAGCACCTCCCCTCGGTCCAGCGGATAACTATTCCCTCCTCACCCTGGTCAGACCATGATCCTTTGGTACTCCTCCTTGCCCTTTCTGGGTCAGAACGACGCCCTTTTCATTGGCGCATCAATGACTCTTTACTGACCACTCAGGCTACCTGCCAGAAATAGAATTCTTCTTACGGACATACTTTACGGAAAAACGTCGGGATCGGTCTCTTCAGCAGTTGCCCCTATGGCGAAGCACATAAGGCCACGGTGCGGGGTCATGTTATACAGCTGTCTGCGGTCCGGAAGTGGGAGAGGGGGGACGGGGAACGTCGACTCCGGAGCTTCATTCTCTCCATGGCCTCTGCGGATGCGTGTTGGAAGTTCATCTCCATCCGTGGCCCCATTTAAACGCGCTCGGGACGCTCTGGCGACAGGAATTGGACCTCCTTGCCTCTTCTCGGAGGCGGAACGGGCCTTGCGTTGGACCAAACATCAAATTCTTATTCGTGTGCTAATAAGCAACCGGTCCCATGCTAAGCCAGGAAACTAAATTCTGTGGGGAAACCCCATAAACCGATTCAGCTTCGACTTTCCACGGGTGGCTGTAACTTCTAATCCCCAGC